CTGGGGCCCTCTTCTGTAAAATGCGGAAGCAGGGAAGGAGGCCCTGGGAGGCTCAGGGCCGTTTGTTCAACCTGGGCGTCCTCCTGCAGAGCATCTTAGACCGAATAAAGCCAGGTGAGGGTCCCACAAAGCAGACAGAAGGTCCGGGAGGGCAGCGGGTGAGAACCATCTGAGGCTGAAACGGCTATGCGCGAGATCGGTTCATCTTACTACCTTTACTCCGCCAGGGCTGCAGGGCCAGCCTACAGGTCTTCATGTCCGCGACCCACCCACTACCTGGGGACAGGGCTAAAAGGCGGCGCAAGGCCAAACCAAACTATGCAGAGGGCGTCGGCGCACAGCCGCAGAAATGCGGACCCCCTCTTACCCCAAACCAAATGGTCAGGGGACCCCGGCTGCTGAGGGCTTTGCTGGTGCGCCCGCCTTAATCCGACGCTTTACAGTTACCGGCGTTCCTGTGCTGCCGCCGTTTCCTTCTTTTACGCCCTTCACCGCTCACACTCCTGAGGCCTCAGCTACCCGGATGCGCCTAGACACCTTGGGCGCCGGCGTTCTGGCAGCGCAGGCGGGTCCCGACGGCGGACGTCGCCAGGGCGGGGAGTGCTCCCTTGCGCCGCCACCTCGCGTTCGGCCCTGTCCTATTCCAACAGAGGGTTCTCCCAATCGTTAAGCGCCTAGCTACCTGTCCTTGCTCTGCGCCCCCTGTTGCCGGTCTGTCTCCCAGGTAAGCCGGGCGCAGATCTCACCGCAGTCCCGCTCCTGGAACCGGCGGGGAAAGAAAAGTTACAGCCTCTGGAAATGAGGAAACCCTGGTTTGGAAGAGGCTCCTTCCCAGGTCCTGTGTATGTATGCTCTTTAGAGCTCACCGGGGTTGGTTGGTTTTTTATTCTTTCATTTATTTATTCTTTTTTTATATTTTTAGCATTGATTTTTTTTTAATTGGGCATCTCTGCCAACAAATATATCTTTGTAAAGATACAGTCTTAAGGGGCTGGAGGGAGGAGGAAAGGGGGAAAATTGGGTCAACTGTAATAGCATAAAGAATAGAGTAGTTTTAAAAGATACAGTCAAATATTTTTCTTCAAAATATAAGGCTACCAACATTTGTGTTCAATACAACACATATATATATATATATAACTAAAATAATAATAACATAATGACATCAATAATTATGTTATGGGCTAAAGAGTCATTCTCATGTTTGAGCTTTTGTTTTCATAAGGGCATGTTCCCGTTTTACATGATAGGAATTGTGAAATCTATGGAGAGTCAGAAGAATATACCAATATAACCACATATAATTTAGGACTAGATAATGCTTTTAAATCCCATTATGTATAAAATAGATTTAATTATGTTGAAACTGATGTACAGAAGTAACTTAACAAGTGAGGCAAGCAAAATTTCAGCATTCAAATCTCATTATTGCATAAACATTACTATTCATTCATAACAAATTCAGCAACTCTCAGGAATTTAAACTGTACTGCATCTTATGTGAGAAGTATATAAGCTACCGCAGTATTCACAAATTCAGAAATTCACCAAGCTCCCAGAACATGTTTCAAAGGTACAAGATGACCTTATAGTCTAGTTCAAAACTCAGCATACTACTTAGCAGCACCCCTTTCACTCTTAATAAGCTCTGTTTAGATGAAAGATTAAATGGTTTCCCTGCTCAGTTAGTTGGTTTTTAAATTTATCTTTTGATCAGATGAAATTTATTGAAAGATTTGCACCAGAGGGTCTTTAAAAATAGTTGAATAGCACAGCTTCCCAGAGTTTCAACAGTATAACCGCAGAGGACAGTGGGCACAGATCAGGCTGCCCTGCCCACAGCAAGCCTCCAGAATAAGAAATGGGCTGAGGAAAGGAAATTATCTGGGCAAATTATTGGCAGATAAGGACTGATTCAAAAGGGACCAGGCAGATGAAAACGGGGGAAGGGGGAGTGTTGTGGAGTTAACTGGCCTGGTGGGGCTCTAAAGAAACCTGTCAGCTCTGTACCATGAGCTTCTTCAGGGCCAGGGCTGTGTCTTCTTTATCCCCAGCTCCTGGCACACAGAGCCTTGAAAACTGGAACAGTCATGGAGGGAGAATGCACTTGGCTCTCTGTACACATTTCACAGACTCAAGCCAGAGTACTTGCTTCAGTGCTGTGTTTCAAAAGCATTATCCTCTGTATCACAGCCATAGCAATGAACTACTACATTGAGCCACCAGGTTACACTTTTAGGGTTATCCATTGCTGGAAAAGCAGTTAATTAAAGGGGAATTAATATCCCACCTAGGAAAATGATAAGTCATGACTTTGGACTGAGAATTAAATGGAAATATATTTTTTATCAATAAAGACAGGAAAAGAATGTTTCACCTGCCTGTGATCATATCAGACTCTTCCTGTGGCTTACCTCATCTTCCCAGCCTATCTTTTTACCCCAGCTTTGCTGTGACAACCAGATTCATATAGGTGGATGAGCACCCAAGAGCACCTTGCCTCTGCTGTGCCTGGTATCTTCTTGCCTCAGGGCTTCTCTGTCACTGCAGCCTGAGACCCCAGTAAGAGGTGACTGCCATTCTGACATGTGCATAAACCTGGAAGTGTAAAGGAACTAACACCTCATGGGACAACCTTTGACCAAGACAGACAGGAGCTGGTGGAGAAATTCTCTCCTATTCTTCCAGTGGGCAATTCCGAGGTACATTCTGTATAGCTCCTAAGATGATAGAGCTCCAATTGCCCATGGTAGTGCTCAACTTGATTAACTCAATAATGTACCCTTGGGTTGCCTTTCCCTCCCCCTATCCTTGCTGTTTGACTCTTCCCAGTCCTCCACTCCTGTTTCCTGGGATTCATTTCCTAAATAAACTACCTGTACACGAGATCTTGCTCAGGGTCTTTTTGGGGGGAATCCAGATTAAGCTGTTAGTTAACCCAAAAGAGGTATCTCAGTCCACTTTCCAGAACTCATTCTCACCAAAGCTTTACCGAGCCTGCTAGTAAGGAATAGATTCACTCAGTTAGAGCTTTTGCTCCTTTTCTTTCCCAGTTGCCCTGCCCTCTAGGGCATCACTAATAAGCTCTCAGAGACAGGCAAATCCCCTCAGAAGACCCCCCTACCCAGAGAGCCACAGTGTTTGCTCCTGTCCAGGTGTCAGCTCCTAAGTGCCTCCCAGCTCCCACCATTCTTGAGTCCCAGCTCAAGCTACTCATTGCCTCATCTTCCTAGGCCCCAGCCCTCCCATGTTAGATCTGGCCCTGCCCCATCTTTAAATGCCCCTGGTCTTCTCTGCCCTCAAGGTTAAGCACTGAATGCCAGATGGTACAGTGAAATCCTGCCAGGAGCCAGCTACTTTGAAGCCCTCTAGGAGCCCACCCACATGCGCAGAGCTCTGTGTCTAGTTCTGCCAGGGGATAGAGAATAATAACACCATCCCCTACTATCTCAAATCCGCAGCCTTCTTTTTGTCTTGATGCAATTGAATTTTCTTTAACAAAAAAAAATTGGGGGGAGGGCAAGATTTCTTGCCCTTAACCTGCTGAATTTTAGAAGTGTCAAGTGACTTTTTCTATAATTGACAGCGAAGGAAACAAAAGGCCCAATGTAGTATTCTAAAACAAATCTGTGATGCTCATACATCTTTTCAGCATACTCTAGTGTGCTGAAAAGAGCCCATGATCTCCACACAACTGTAATACTGAATTCTACCAATGAATGAGAACTGGAAGCTCAATGTTTTCCCTGAAGTGAATGAGCAAGGAAGACAAGTTCTGGGTCCTTAAGGAAGAAAGAGGAGCAGCATCGGTACCCACATCCCAAACCTCTTTCTGTCTCTTAAGTCTAATAAATTTAATTAATTAAAATGTTTTCTTAAGCCACAGAGTTGGGGGTGGTAGACTGGAAATTTAAGCAAAATTCTTTTGGAGTAATTGGGATCTTTGAAGAGGGTAAAATATAGGGACATAAAAAACAACTCTGTCCCCAACTCTGTTCATTGCACCCCAAGCTACAGCAACCCATAAACCTTCCTTCCTTCCTTCAGTTGGTGTGTACTGAGCTCTTATTCTATCCCAGGCATTAGGCTTTGTCGTTGGAACAAATGCCATGATAACCCAGTGCAGGTTCCTGTCTTCAGTAATGCAACTTGACAGCTAGTGACTGCCAGCTGTGCACCACACATTAGGCCAGGTGCCTTTTGTGCATTATTTCATTTAGTCTCTGCAACAGTCCCAAATGCAGCTGAGATTATTCTCATTTTGCAGCTGAGGAAATTGAGGCTTTGAGAGGTTAAATAACTTGCCCACAGCAACACAGCTAGGACAGGTCCTACCCAAGTCAGTCCCACTACAAAGACTTTTTTAAGCATACCACCAATTGTCCTAAGGTTTTTACTTTGAAAGACAAAGATAAAAGTCCACATTTATAGGCTGTTTTGGAATACAATATTTTTTAATTAGCTGGGCATTGTTTCTGTGAGTAATCCAACAGAAGCTGGAATTACTTGGAAATTATACAGAAACTTCTTTCAGTGAGGATAATGCAGATGCCATGATCTGCTGCCCTCAATTAGGAAAAGTAATTATAGGTCCTAATTGTCATATAAACTTTGAAAGACAAACATATAGGACAAGATTCTTAACCCTTATATCTGATTTAATTTTCTGAACTTCAAATCCTATTTTTTTCAAAGACTATGTTATAGTAAACTGTTTTAAAAGCCAGAATACAAAACCATATGCTTGCTTAATGTATTTTCAGTTTTTTTCTAATGAATGCCTATTATTTATATTTTCTGCTTATTGTACCAGGGACAGGGCCTGCTACTTTAGAAGAGAAACTGAATAGCAAATCTGCTGCCTCTCATTTTGGGGTTGCCGGTGCTTCTTCCCAAAAGCCCATTGGCTCCTCACCCACCTCCTCCCCTCATACCTGGCTTTTCCCAAGACTTAAAGGTTTTCCTTCTGCTGATAGTTCTCACACTTGGCATTCTCTCACCTTAGTGGGCACGTAGCAAGGCTCCCTCTGCACTATTAGCACGCAGGATCCTCTCCAGGCAGGTTACAAGCCAGATACACCTGTAATCCTCTTAATTTGCAGTTGATAGGGTATAAAAGACACCCCAACACACCTCTTCCAGGCTTTCTATGTATTATTTCAATGCTTGCCTTTGGCTGAGAAGGTAAATTCTCATTCTCATGATAACCAAAGCCAACTGATAATAAAATACAATATTCGGAGTTTTGGATGTTTGTGTGTTCGTCATTGAGGCAAAGTTCAGCTTTGTAACTGTTTGCTTTAAGCTTAAAATGCCTGTGAGTTTGGCCCTCTGACAAGCAGAGGGGTCAAGGGTAGGTCCCTCTGCTTGTGGACACATGAGAAAAAATTATGCTAAAGGGCAGCTCCAGCCAACTCCATCTTGAGCTCTCCCTGCCAAGTGTGTGTGAGTTTAAATGGGCACAGGAACTGGCCTGGACAGAATGAGAATGTCCTGAACATAACCTAGAATCAGGACCTGAGAAAAATTTCGAGATGGCCAAGGGACTTTGGACAGGCCTGGATGCAAGAAGGTTGGAGCCAAAACATACCCCTTGAACATCACAGTGGAGGTCAGGAGTCTATCTGGAATACAGCTCCCTTAGGGCCTCTCTCAGTATTACCATGACCTGTGATGAAAGTCCATGGAAAATTACAACAACTGAATTCAAGCAGAACTATTACTAATGGCCCAGACCCTTCATGAATGAAGCTTTGGGTCACCCCACCAGGTTACGAACCATGACCAGCTGAGGGCAAATGGAAAATGGAATGGGCAGTGGGAAAGGTAATTATAAAGACCAGCTATAACCATGTAACCAGTTATAGGAAAAATGCTATAATTGTCAAGAGTATTTCTTATTTTGGGAAAGGAGAGTGTGTGATATTTTTGTATTCTTTCTTTTCTTATCCCCTTATCATGTAACATAAGATGTTTTGACTTTATATTATATCAATGAGGCCTACCCGGAAAAAGTCCAGTCATTCTTAATATAACAAGAATGGTTTGTGCAACATCAATGTAACTTGGCAGCCAAGGAGAGTGGACTACAATGCACATGTGTGAACAATGATGATGTCACTGTACTAGTCAGTGGGGGTGGTAGACACCAATGAGTGGGCATGTGTACTATGTGACCATTGCATTCAAAATGACTGAGCAGTAGAGCAAAGAATCTGCATCAGATTTTGCATCAAGCTAGAACATTCCTCTGCAGAAACTATGCAGATGATTCAAAAGGCCACAGCTATGGGCAACTGATAATTGGCAGCTTCTTCACAACAACGCATCCCCTCATGCATCACATCTCGTGCAGAGTTTTTTGATGAAACATCAAATCACCCAGGTGACTCAGCCCCTCTACAGCCCAGATTTGGTGCCCTGTGACTTCTGACTTTTCCCAAAACTAAAACCACCTTTGAAAGGGAAAAGATTTCAGACCATTGATGAGATTCAAGAAAATAGGCTGGGGCAGCTGATGGTAAGTGGGAGGACTATGTGAGGTCCCAAGGTGCCTACTTTGAAGGGGGCTGAGGTATCACTATCCTACATACAATGTTTCTTGTATCTTCTTCAAGAAATGCCTATTTTCCATATTACATAGCTGGATACCTTCTGGACAGACCTCGTATATCATAGTATTGTTAACTTTACATTATAGTATTTAAGTTGTGGGATATCAAAAAGAGTAAACATCACAAGGACTTTTCCTCCTACTCTGGGGATAGGATTAGTGCTTTATCAGTTGTTTATAGGATATTTGTATCATGTTAGGTGGACTCATGATCTTATTATTGTCTTCATTTGGAGATTAAGTATGGGTAGGCTGATTTGTATGGGTGCCAAGTTGACAAGGAGTGGGCAGTGATGATTAAGTTTATAAGTCAACTTGGTTAGGCCACAGTGCCCAGATATTTAGTCAAACCTTATTCTGAATGTTCCAGCGAAGGTGTTTTTTAATGTAATTAACATTTAAATTGGTGGACTTTGAGTAAAGCAGATTACCTCCATAATGTGGGCAGGCTTCATCCAACCAAATGAAGGCTATAAACAGGAAAACAGTGACTTCCCAGAAAGAGAGGGAATTCTGCCAGCAGACTACATTTGGACTTGAACTGCAACTCTTCCCTGGTCTCTACCCTGCCAGCCTGCAGATTTTGGATTTGTAAGGCCTCTACAATTAAGTCAGCCAGTTCCTTAAAATAAATCTCTTTCTCTGCCTCTCTCCTCTGTTCCTCTCCCTTTCTTGCTCCCTCTCTCATTCTTCATCCATGCACATCCTGTTGATTCTGTTCCTTAGGAGAACCCAAACAAAAATATCCATTGCAGTCTGCTACCCTAATTGGAGCCTGAAACAACGTTGAAATAGATCCTTCTGCTCTGAAATTGGTTCATCTTTCTGTGTAGGAGGGGAGGATTCAACCGCAGCAGGAAGAGCTCTTACTCAGGGGCCTGGAGCACAGGTCAGAGGCAGGAGTGTTGTTCCCAGGCCAAGGTGGGACAGAGAAAGGCTTGCTGTTCACCCTCCCCATCCCCTGAGTTCTCTTTTGCCACTGCCCTGCAAGTGCTCACAGCCCAATGCGGGGGGCGGTGCGGGCGCGGTACAGACACCACTGCAGCTTATTCTTAAAACAGAACTTAAAACAGAAGGCTAGAAACAAAAGGGTAGAAGCACCCTCTGATTCAGCAGCCCTGAGCCGGGTCCAGTAAGATTGCCAGGCATTCCAAGTATTACAGACAAAACTATGGTAGTACAGGAGGAGGGGAGCCCTCGAAAGTCCGTATGTATCGTCTCCACTACCTGGGAAAGAAAGCCTTTATAATTGTCCCAAGGTCTAAAAGGAAGAAGAGGAGGGAGAACCTAAAAACTGATGAAAATATACAACCTCTGAACTCAAGTAGTTGGCACTCAAATTAGCTGGGTGCCCACTTGTATCTCCTGGCTCAAGTGTATAAAACAAATTTATCAACAAACTAACAGCTTTATTTCCTCTGTACAGTGGGACATTCAGATTAGCTGGTGTCTGCTTGCAGATTCATGCTCGTGTGTATTTCATAAATAAACATCTCATTTCCACTATATGTGCTGTCTCTTGTCTGAATTCTTCTCTTGCAAGCCAGGCAGGAACCAAAGAGGAGGAGCCCCTGACTCAGGTCTCCCCAGTAACTTGGATCCCATCCTTTGTCTCCAGCGGCCCCCAACACAGTGAATACAGTCCCACTGGCAATGTTTTATTGCCTGTGTCACCTTTGGGGTTAAAAGCAAGATGCAGCAGTGGGAGGACAGGTTATTCAAACATGCAGAGCCTGTGTTTGGAGGCAGACATGAGGATAAAATCTAAAATGAGTGCTCAGGTTCACCTGGGCTCTGAAGACTGAAGAGACACATTCTCCCTCTGGTCCAAGTTCTTGGGCATCCCTACATGAGTTGGGGCCTCACAGAGGTGTCTGAGGTCAACCCCCAAGACATACAGGGGCCTTCTAGGGAACCCCCATCACTCTAATGTAACTTTGGCTTATTCAGGGATGTGCAAAAGAAGGGTTGCACATCCCCAGCACTCTGGGTTCCCCTGGCTGTTTTAGATGACCAGTGGAGAAACAGAGGCACATAAGAGAGCGCGGGATGACCAAAGGGATAATGGCCTTAAGGAGCCCCTCTCACAAGCAGCACACTCGGACCCACTACTCAAAATCCCCTAGTCCTTTATGCACCTAAACCATGGCCAGGGAACAGTAAGTTTGAGTGATTAACCTATTATAAGCCTGCTGCATCTCCCCCCGAGGGGCGGTGTTGGTATTTGCCAAGCAAGTGTCTTGCTCTCGCCCTCTCGAGAAATAGTTGTGCCCCTTCTCAGGCATAAACCTTTTATTTCCTCCTAAATTCTAAGGGTGCCAAGGAGACTTTCAGCCAGGGGAGCATGGGCAATTGAGGCTCGACCCGGGCTTACTCCCCATCCTATTTCCAGGCCCCCCTTTTCCTCTGACTTCCAGGTAAACCAAGGTAGCCCTGCTCTGGCTCACTCTTCTATAACTTTCCTAAGGAGTCAAAGCAGCCCGCCTAGGCTCTCTCCTGTTACTTCCTCCACCCTAAATCTTTCCTTTGTTTCTCTGTCCCCAGAAGCAATAATTTACCCCTTCAATGTAAAAGAGAAAAACTGGTACTTTCATTTATTTAGTTATTTTTTTAAATTATATTTTATTGATTATGCTATTGCAGTTGTCCTGATTTTTCCCCTATTGCCCCACTCCACTCAGCACCCTCTACTGCCTCAGATAGTCCCTCCACCATTGTTCATGTCCATGTGTCATGCATATAAGTTATTTGGCTACTCCATTTCCTACACTGTACTTTACATCCCCATGACTATTCGGTAACTACCCATTTGTACTTCTTAACCCCCTCACCTTTTCACCCATTCTCCCTCACCCCACTCCCATCTGGCAACCATCTGGTAACTAACTTCTTTTCTCTTGCTACTTTTAAGAGTCTCTCTTTATTTTTAACCTCTGGCCTTTTAATTATGATGTGTCTTGACATGGGCATCTTTGTATCCATCTTCTTTGGGATTCTCTGTGCTTCCTGGACTTGTATGTCTATTTCCTTCACCAAATTAAGGAAGCTTTCTTTCACTATTTTTTCAGATAGATTTCCAATTTCTTGCTCTTTCTCTTCTCCTCCTGGCACTCCTATGATGTGAATGTTGGACCTCTTGAAGTTCTCCCAGAGGCTGCTTATACAATCCTCATTTTTTTTTTTAATTCTTTTCTCTTCTTGTTCTTCTAATGGTTGTTTTTCACTTCTTTATGTTCCCAATCATTGATTTGATTCTTGGCTTCATTCACTGTACTGTTGTTTCCCTGTAGTTTGTTCTTTATTTCAATTAGTGAATCCTTCATTTCTGACTGGACCTTTTCTACACTGTTGAGGTCCTCATTAAGGTCCTTGAGCATCCTTCTAACCAATGTTTTGAACTCCACATCTGATAGATTGTTTATCCCCATTTTGTTTATTTCTTTTTCTGGAGTTTTGATCTGCTCTTTCATTTGGGCCATGTCACTTGTTTTCTAATGTTGGCAGCCTCCCTGTGTTTGTTTCTATGTATTAAGAAGAGCTGCTTTGACTCCATGTCTTGGTAGTGAGGCCTAATGTAGTAGGTGTCCCGTAGGGTCCAGTGGCAGAGCCTCCTCAT